TTTCTGTGCATCAGTGTTTTGCCTGCATGTCTGTCTGTATAAGGGATCTTGCAGTTGCAGACAGTTGTGAGCTGCCATGTGGGTGCTGCAAATCCCGGGTCCTCTGAAGAACTGTCAGTGTGTTTAACCACTGAGCCATCTCTCCAGCCCCTGTCAGTCTTATTAGGGCCTCGAGGTAGATGAAGAAATGCCTTTTGGTATTCCCATTGTGTTCCAGACGGTCTACCTTTCTGTGTGATGAATCAGCAGTCATACCAATGACTCAGATGGAGAAACTCTGACATGTGAATGGGGGACAGTGCATACACGGAAGCCACTCAGAACACTGGGCTTGCTACCTACTAAGAACATTTCCTAATTGCCCGGGATTTATAAGGTTTACTAAGTAGAACATATCCCATGCAGGGTTCAGCAGATAGGCTGAATCACTGCTGTCTCAAAGGTACTCCTGCAAAAGTGTTCTCTACATTAAAGGATCCCCCAGCCTCAGCACTGAAGGCCTGGGTTCAAATGCTACAGTAGCAACACAATCTTGACAGGAAAAAAAAATAATAATAAAAAAAATGACCATTTGAGTAGTATTAAAGTACACATTTTTAAACTGCTAACAAAAAACAATTTTGTATTTTTTTTCATCTTGATAGCACCCTGGTGTTAAGACACCTTCTGAAGCAAACTAGAGAGGATCAGAAAGCCATCTCTGAGCCTACAGATTTGGCTTAATGTCTTTCTATTCAACTCCAAACTTCACAGGTTCTCTCTTTCAAATGCCTAACTATCAGTGACAACTTTAATAAAACACGAAGGGGGAAAAAAAGATGAGGAAATATGGTAAATAACTCAAGGTTAACTCCTTAAAACTGTTTTCTTCCCCACACAGACACATATTAAACTATTGCCCTGTCACTTACTGTGTGCATTCCTTTTTTAATCTGTATATCATAACTGTCATGTTTATATAATCTTGAGTCACTTAAAGTCTAAGCCTTGTCCTACTCTGGTAGTAGGGGATAGGGAATAGCTACCTAACAGTGCGGCCTTGACCTTTAAGCACCTCAGCCCTGCACTGTGCAGGCAGAAGGGTTAAAATAGCAGTTGGCTTTTAACATAAAGCCTTCAGTGCTATCCTTAGGTAGGGAAGAGTCCTGTTTTCTGTGGTCACTGTCTTCAGGCAGTACCTCTGTAAACAGAGCAGACAGACAACTGTCTGAGAAGCGCTCAGTGCTGCTGCGTCTTCGGAAGTCGGCGTACCACTTATCGGTGAAGAACCCACGCTCATCCTGCCTAGACTTGGGAGTATCGGTGGACAGTGCCTGTGTCTTAGCTGTTTCTATACCCCGAGACCGCGACCCGATGGCTCTTAACCCTGACTCACATTAGAACTACATGGGGAGTTTATAAAAATATTAAGGCCTGGGCTCCATTCCCAAACCCATTAAATCACATGGGAGTGGGAGTGGAGGGCAGGAAGGGCCAAGAGTCAGCGAGGGGGAAGCATTTATTTTTAAGTTCCGCACATGATGGCAACAGGCTGCCAAAGTTAAGAACCGCAACTCGTTGACACTTAAAAACACTGCATGTGTGTGCAAACGGCCACGAGGATGTGCAGATGGGTATGTACGCACGGAAGTAAGCGTGACTCGACCCAAGAGCCTCATCCTCAAGTTGGTCCCAGCTCAATCCTCTCTTCCCTCTAGACATAGAGCATGCCAGTAAATACCAACAGCGGGCTGTGGTCCCATGCTTCTACACTGGTAAGTCAGGGCTAAGTCTTACCCTTCTTCCTAGAGTCCAGCCTTCCTCTCCCTAAATCTATACCACTCTATTCTTGTTTTGCCCAGTTTCCTTACACGATGACGCCATGAATACAGGCGTGTAGTGATCATCGATCTGGTTTCAAAAACACAAACACTAGTACCAGGTAGCATTCTGTGTTCCAATTATCCAACTTACAGCTAGTTACTACCACACTGGAAAGCTAGAAAATGGGAAAAGTCAGAGGAAACTTCAAAAACCCCAACTAATGAAAACTATAGAGTTTGCCTCATTAAAGGATATCTGGAAATGTGGACTTTTGTGCTTCATCCCCCACAGTATCTGCCCTGTGTTCTGTCCCTCATCGGGTGGTTTTTGGCTCTTAACCTGTTTCTTTGCAGCAATATAACTAACGCACAAGGATGTTTAATCAGCACACGTTGGGGGGATGGGGAGCAGGCTGGTTTCACTTTTTATTCCAGGCTGGCCCCAACCACAGAGAGATCTGCCCGGGCTCTGCCTCTGTGGTGGGACTGAAGACATGCGCCACCACAGCGAACCATACAGACTTCTTGAAAGAACAGTGTTTTTCAACCCCTGAAAAAGGTCCTTTAGGTGCGTGTCAGGGTAATGGGAAATAAATTTGGTTGGGAATATTGTGTGAGCAAATGCAAGCGTCATTCGACAGTAGACAAAATATACCTTTGTTTCACTACTGACAGGTGGGCGGGGCCTAAGGAGTTTATAAAATACAGCTTACTAGAACAAGAATGTTAATGTAGCCCACAAAAACTCTTCAGCTAAGTGGATTTCACCTCTCAACTAGAAGAAATGGCATACAATTCTAAGTCAGCAACGACCTGAAAGGCAGGAAAACGGGTCCGCTTCAAAGTTTTGCAATATATATTCCGAAACTGGTAAAACCATCTAAGAAATTTAAAAAAAAAAAAAAGTCTAAAATTCTAAAACTCAGGGAAGGAGACAGTGGAGAAGCATGCCTGCTAATTAGATACTGTGGCAAAATATGGCTTTGTCTTGTTGGGTCCTCCGGCTTGAAATGGAGTCAAGGTTACCAGTAAAAGAAAGCAATCCTCAATTCCCCAGTCAATAAAAAAGGTTCAAATTCCACAGACGGGAAAAAAAAAAAATGGTACCCTGGGTTGTTTGTTTTTAAGGAAGATTAAATTTAGGAGTTGCCAACACCCAAACGAAAAACATTCCAGAGTATTAGGCTCAATTACAGTGGGAAGACATGTACATTCCCAGTCCTAGGCTCGCTCAGAGGAGGACCCATTAACGAAAGATGTTTCTTACGCGCTCACTCACAAGATACACCCTACTTATTGTTCCTGTTTTTTTTTTCATAGTAATTAAAAAAATATATAATTTTAGCACAAGCAGCCAGACCCCCCCCCTAAAAAATGAAGTGTAACATCTGCCAACATATTTCCCAAAATAAGACCGCTGTCAGATGAACCCTGAGAAGAGAGTGGAAATGGCAAGTTCTTTTATTTGGACCATAAGCTGCTTCTTAAAAAAATAAAGCTGAGGAATGCAGTCTTCCCAAAGCTTTGTCTTCAAGTCCCCTTAACCTTCATAGTTTTACATCATTAAAAAAAAAAAAAAAGAAGAAGAAACCTGGAAATTTGATTACCATTCTTATGAATTCCTTTGAAAGCAACTTTAATGAGTAACAGATATCTTGAATTAAGTGGTAAGCCACCAGCACAGTTGTTCTGGCTGATAAAAAAAAAAAAAATCTCTGAGACATTCACCTAAAAGAACAAAAATATATCCTACAGAGACATACTGATTCTCTAAGTATGGAAATCGTATTACTTTAAATAATGATTCTAATATACTCATTACTACCAACCACCTAACCCAGAATTAAAATTAGTCAGTTGGTGGGGGTTAGGGGTGGAGACAGACTCCCAAACACATAGCCCGACTGGTCTCAAACTCCTCATCTTCCTGCCTCAGCCTCAAAGGGCTAGAATTACAGCCCTGGTTTTTTTTTTAATGTGGTTTTGCGTTTTGTTTTGTTTAAGCAGTGCTGGGGATCAAACACTGGGCCTTAATGCGTGCTAAGCAAATGCTATACCGCTGAGCTACATTCCCAGCCCCAAATTAGTAAATATTTTAACAGTCCTTTCATGGATAACAAGGCCAAGAATTAAAAAAGTTGTGGGTGGACAGTTAAAACTGAAAAGCCATCGATTAAAAGATGTGGCTTCCTCGAGTGAAACACAGTGGTCAAACCACTTCCTCCAGTTTTGAAATAGCTTCCTTTCAGGTAGATGGAGGTGCGATTATACACTTGGTTAAAAATCTTTCAAACAGTTTTCTAATAGAACGCTCCTGATGCCTGAAGAAATCTTTGGTCACACACACACACACACACACACACACGTGCACACATCTCTCAGAAATGTTTTCCCGATTGTTCAAGACCACAGTGAGTACCTGAACCTCCAGAACTTAGTTGCTACACACCATCTCTGCTGTCTAAAATACCCCTGGGGGCGGGGGGGGGGGGGGGGGGGGTGGGGGGTGATGCATGATGCTGCAGTACAGAGTTTTACTCGGGTTTACTGGGAGATAACGCTGTCTTAGATATTGCTAAGGTTACGCTTTCTTTACAGGTGCTTTTCCTTGTAAACACTGCTAGGGAAGTGGAGATAAAACAACCTGATAGCCCGAGATGGACACGTGGGAAACCAGAAGACGTCATCACCTCCAGGAATCGATTTCCCTAACTGATGAGAGAGAGAGAGAGAGAGAGAGAGAGAGAGAGAGAGAGAGAGA